GGGGGAACAGGCAGGGGATGCGGCCTGGCTGGGGTCCCCCCATGGCTCCCTCCCCTTTCCTCTTGCCTTCCCCTCCTGCCCCCTACTTACCAGCATGGAGTCTGGGTCCAGCTCCCTGCTGCAGCCAGTGGGGACTGCCCAAATCTCCAAAGCTCTCTGAATCTTTTCTGAATCAATTCAGACCTTTTAATTGGTCCCCTGATTTGATTCAGGTTCAGAGATTCAGCCACTGAATCGAACCAAAGCTGCTCCGAATCATATCAGCACCCAAAGCTTTGCATAGCCCTAGTGCTTAGCGCTATAGAGGAAGCCAAGTTCAACAGAGAGTGCGGACATGGCAGTAATACAAGAAATATATCAAATAGTAATATTCGGCGCACACATACACATACAGGCACACAGTGTTGCATTAAGAAATGCTTGCCAAAACTTGGTCATTACAGTTATATACCAGGTCCAATTCTCTTCCTACACTAATGTAATTCCATTGACTTGCTCCCAATCTATATGAGTGAAAACAGGAATTGGGCCTGCTGTGCTGTAGTTCCACCTGACAGTGTAGCTGATTGCCAGAATTTCAATGCTTTTCTTTTTCACAGTATCTGTAAGGCTATTAATAAAAATTTAAGTTCCCTCTCTCTGTCTCCTATGGATTGTATACATAATACACCCCTTGCAGTCAAAAATTAGGTTCAAAAGACATAATTACTGCATTACCTCATTGGCATTGCTAGTTCCATCTCTTTTTTTCTTCTAGTTCTTCTCACCAGCCCATTCCTCAGCAGAAGCTTTTCAAACTGAGAATGTCTTTGATTCTAAAAAAATGTTTTTCAAAATTCAGTTTAACAAACTGTGAAACACTTGACAGTGCAGAAACAATATTAACAGTAGATGATGATTAGAGCAACTGTAGCCCAATTGTTAATTGAATTGTTACAAATGAAACCCGTGGACCATTAAAAGGGCATCAAACATGGTGGCTTGTACTTGGAAGCAGGCTTTGGCAAGTACAAATTGTTCATTAAGGCCATATGATGACTACAAGTAGTGGTCGTTAAAACCAAATTTTGTTCTAACGGGATGCTCTTTGGTGCCTGGCTAATTTCCCTTTTCATCTTCTTGAGCTGCTTTAATGGGTTTTTTTTCTTTTTTGTGTTTTCTTGTGGTTTGTCACTGTCAGTGACGCACGTTCTTGCCTAGACAGCCTTTTGACAGTCTTTCTCTTTGCCTATTTGTGCAGCCATTTCTTAACTAACTCAGTGACCTATACAAGGAGGCACATCAATCCTTTTTAGCTTACTGTGAATGCACCACTGCACATGATAGCCTCCTACTATTCTTTATTATCCTACTTATTTTTCCTTTCTGTTCCACTATATTGTTCCTCAGCTTCCTACATGTGTTTTGTCAGCACAGGTACATCCCCTGAACCGGGAAATTCTTGTGATTCTGCAGGGAACCTGTTTCTTCCCAGATCTATTCCAATGTTAGTCAGGACAAGTTCTGCGGAATAATATAATGTAAATCCAGAGTGAACAAGATCAGGATGTGGCCCTCTATTAAACAGACAATTCATGTAGGGCATGAGGTAATTTTAATGTTCCGGGATAGTAATTTTTCTGGGGGAAACCTTACAGTTTGTGCCTTAGAAGCTTTAAACTAATTTGGGGATGGGCTTTTGTATTCCTGTTCTTTTATTAGTTCTGTGATGGCATCGAAGCCAGCCTTTACTGCCTGGCATTGAGCAGCTAGTTAAAAATGCTTACTAAGTGACTGGTGCCAAGTAGAGATTGTATGAAAAGTGAATGTGTGAAAATTCCCTGTGGTGTGTGGGCTGGACCTGGCATTGCAGGCAGCAAAGCGGATTGATCCACGGTACTGCATGCAGCCCGCACCTCAGACCTCTATGCCTCCTGCAGCACCGAGTCCAAGCCACACACCACATGCAGTATGAAGCCTCTGCAAGTCCCGCATGCCTCATGCACAACGAGCCCCAGAGCCACTTTGTGGGTGCTGCACAGGGTGTGCACTGGCTCTGCATGCTGGCTCCACCATGGCCCGGTCTGAGATGGTCGTAGAGCCAGAACGCAGGGCTGGTCCATGGGGCTGGACATGCAGTGTGCTCCCCATGCCAACCCCTCTGCTGGGTACAGGGCTATAGCAGGTCCAGTGCTGGGGCAGCAAAGTCACCCCTTATCAGCCACCTGGACCCTAACTTGCTTGCCCCTTATGGCCTCTCAGGTTTCCACCCTGTTGTCTCCTCTGCCACACCTGGATATTATGATTGAACAGGGAAGCTGTCCCTAGAGGGCAGGGGGGTTGGGGTGTTAGGCCCTTGTCTGAGCTGAGTCCCCCCTGGCCTTGGCCCACTTAACCTTGGCTGGGCCTCTCTGCCTCTCAGGACCATAGGTTCCTGGGCCCAAGCTCCAGTCTCGTCTTTATGGGCTCTGGGCCCCTCAGCCCCTGGTCTCACCCTCATGGGCTCTGGGCTTGTGCCCCCAGTCTTTGTGGTCAGACACCACAGTCTGTATGCTAACAGCAGCCCTAGACACTTCAATGGGTCTGGAACTTGGGGTGCCCTTGGTACCCTTCTCAGTGGCCTCCTCTGCCCCTACAGCCACAGTCCAGTCCTCCAGTATTTAAACACAACGAAAGATATGAGCATCTGTTCTCAAACAAAAGGTTCCCCATCCTGGGGCTAACACCACACCTTGGCAAAACTACCATGCAAGGCACCAAAATACTTACC